ACTACAGTCTCTGGGGAGTTTTCTGGGATAGAGCTGCTGAGTGTGGACATGGTTAGTTCAGGAGCATTGTCATTCACATCCACCACTTCTATGGCCACTGTGCATTTTCCCAYAAGGCCTCCACCATCTGTTGCTTCAATTTCTATGATATAATGTTGGGTTGCTTCAAAATCCAATGCTCTTTGCAGATGAATTTCTCCTGTTTTTTCGTGTATTACAAATGGTTGAGAAACTTCATCACCTTCTAGTAAAGAGTAGGATACACTCCCATAAGTTCCTGCATCTATATCTCGAGCAGAGACAACAAGAACTAATGAGTTTATGGGACTGTTCTCAGGAACCTGTGCCTCATACAGGGACTGTAAAAATTCGGGGGCATTATCATTGATGTCTATCACTTCAATGCGAACTGTGACAGTCCCAGACCTGGGCGGCGCCCCACCATCCAGTGCTGTGATAGTTAAACTGAGCTCAGGCTCTTCCTCCCGGTCCAGGGCTTTGCCCAATACCAGCTCTGGGTATTTTCTTCCATCACCGCGGTTGTGAGTAGCAACACGAAAATAGGAGTTGGGGCTGATTGTGTAGTTCTGAACACTGTTGCTACCCATGTCCAAGTCCTGAGCTGATTTCAAAGCAAACACAGACCCTGGCTGGACGCTCTCTGGGATTCTAAGGATCATTTCCCTGTCTAGGAACTCTGGAGAATGGTCATTTACATCTATGAGTTGCACATCAATTTGAAACAACTGCACTGGGTTTTCCAGTAACAGCTGGAAATGCAATACACAGGGTTCTGTCGCCCCACACAGCACCTCCCGGTCTAGTTTTTCCTGTAGAAGCAAATTGCCGGTTTTTACATCAAGCTGCAAGAGCTGTTTGCTGCCTTTGTGATGGATTCGTGCTCCCCGAGTGGCCAGCTCCCCCACCCTGAGCCCCAGATCTTTTGCCAGGTTGGCCACAGAGTAGCCGCTTTCTGTTTCTTCTGGAATGGAATATCTAATCGCCTTAGAGTCAGCCCCCCATAAAAACAACAGTATAGCAAGAAAAATGACTTGCCTTTTCTGAGGGGGTTTTGCTAGAGCAGTCTGCATTGTTCAAATCCGTCCAGAAGGTGCAGTTCCTTCAACCCGGTATACAATCCACTCAGATGATTTAGTTAAATAAACTTGAGTTAAATATTTTTTTCTGGCATGCACTTAGGACGATTAGTTCTTCGAAGATCCGTCTCTTGGAGTTCATCTAAAATGCTGCCTTCTTTTGTGGAGCTTTCAGAGTTCTGATTCCCAGCTCAATGGCGTCCGTGGCATCCAGAGCCCATTATTCACACGCTTAACCTGCAGCGCCACCAGGCGTCCTTACTTATTATTGCATATAATATTTGCATTTCAGATCAAATTCTAAATCTGGTGTGTATTAGGAAAGTTTTAATCACAAAAGTACTATTAATTTTATATCCTAGTTATTAGATGTTCTAAATAAACGTTTTCTGAGTTGATTTTCAGTGAAAGAATACTGTAAGAACAGACTGATGTGATATATGAGTATCTCTTCATTTTCTTTTAGAGAACATGAAAGTTTCTTTTGAAGAAACTTTTCTTGTGGGTTTATAATTCGATTGTATTTTAGAAATTATAATGGATATCTACAAAAATTTCTATTCACAAAATTAACTTTCATTTTGAAGTATAACATGCCAACATAAAATATCACAAATCATAAGTGTACAAGCAAGTACATTTTTAAAAATTAAAAATAGGGAAAGATTTTGGCTAACTGATATCCTTTTGTCCTCTCGTATGTACTTCAMACTCATTCTTTTTATTTATATATAAGATTACAATACTCTTTGATATAATGACAAAGGCATGTAAATAATTTTCTCCTTCAGCCTCCAAAGTCAAAGTTTGAATATTTGCTGTTGTATGTAGAAGCTAATGGAAAAATGTCTGGAAGAAAGGTGTATTCCATCAAACTAGAGGAAAGATCAGTAGAGCAGTTGGACGGGAGGAAGGCGGGATGGGTTGGGCARTAACAGTGGAATGAATATGACCAATCTTTCGTATGTAAATATATGAATATACCACAGTGAATATCAACTCAGCGAATTTTAACAAAGAGTATACACTTCTATAAAAATATTCTAGATTAAAAGTTGAAACACTACCAAGACCCAAGAACTCTCTTTCTTTCATTTGTTTTTACCCTCCCTCCAAAAAGATAAGCACTATCCTGATTTCTATTATCATAGTTATCTCTGCCTTCTTTTGAACTTTGATACAATAAAGCTATAGAGTTTTACTGTTGTTGACCTTCATTCAGTATTCTATTAAGTAAAATGACCAGTGTCATCTTGTTCTAAGTTGTTTTGTTCTTGTAGATTTGTATTTATTCAGATGTATGAATATACCATGATATTGTTGTACATTCTCCAGTTGCTGAAAATTTGAGTTTTTTCAGCTTTGAGGGTTTTTTTTTKKGGGGGGGGTGTACTACCACAAAATATATTGAATATATTCATAGACTTTAGATTGTTGTGCATTGATGCAAGATATATATTTAGATTTTGTAAATATTATGAATTATTTTTCAAAAGTAGTTGGAGTAATACCAGCAAGTATGAGAGTTCCAGGTTCTTCATATCCTTATCAACATTTGGTGTTGTCTTTTCAGTTTTAACCACTCTACTGAGTGTGTGGTAATATCATTTGTGGTTTTAATTAGCATTTGCAATCACCCAAGAAATCATGCCCATTTTCAAAAATTTATTGGTCATTAGTATACATTCTTTTGAAATTCTTGCTATTTGGGACATTTTCCTGTTTCCTTATTAGTCTGGAGAACTTATCTTCTATATTCTGGAAATATCTTTTCAGACACATGTGTTGCAAATATCTTTTCCCACTCTATGCTTTTACTTTTTATAATTTTAAGAGCTCAATGATTATACATAGTAGTTGGGATCTATGCTTGTATCTAAAATTTATTATGGTGACATTGATCAAGAAATATTTAATTTGGCCTGATTTGTCAATATATTTTATTTAAAGTTAATAGTTTGTGTGTACTAGTTAATCTTTTCCATATTCCAAGGCATAAAAATTCTTATGTGATATATTTTCACAAACTAATAACTATACTTTGCATGTTGAATGCTATAATTAATTTTAAATTACTTTTTTCAAGTGAATAATGTTGGGGTCACTTTTTTCATGTGAATACCCAAATTACTTTGCACCATTTACTAAAAGATGATCTCCATTATTTCTAAAGTGACATCATTGTCTTAAATCAGGTGATCACATGTCTGCTCAAGTATTTCATTTTTATCTTTGTTTATCCTACATAACACATTTTATTAATTACTATGGGGTTGTCATAGAGTTTGTTATATGAGAGGTAAGGCCTCCATTTAAAAAAACAATAGACTAAGGGGAAGGAAAGASAGCAGAATAAAATAGATATTATTATTGCTGTGTGTATATACGTGACTGCATAACAAATGTGATTCTGCAACCTGTACACTCAGAAAAATGAGAAATTATATCCCACCTGATTCAAATATATGATATATGAAGATCATTGTACTGTCATGGGTAACTAATTAAAACAAATAAAAAAACAATAGGCTATTTTAAAGAACAATATGAGACCCACAGAAAAAATAAATCAGAAGGCAAAGATATTCTCACCTTCCTCTCCCCACACATGAACAACCTTCAAATTTGGCTATGTTATATTTTCATTTTCATCAAACTTAGTGAATTTTTAAACTTCACTCAAGACCAATTCTTTGATTCATGGATTATTCAGAAGTATGACCAAGGGGATATTTTCCTGTTGCCTTTCCTTTATTGATTTTTTTGTTTGACTCTACTATACTTGGAAATTCATTCTGTCTGATTTTACTTTTAAATTGGCTGAGGTTTATTCTACCACCTAGTATGTGGTATGTATATATCCTGTGAGCATTTGAAAAAAATTATATTCTGTGTTTGTTAGATGGAATATTCTATAAATAGAGATGTCATTGGTTGATGTTATTGATAAGTTCTGTATCTCTGCTAGTTTTCTGACTCATTTATCTAATTTATCAAATAGTTATTGAGAGAAGGCCATGGAAGTCTCCAACTGTAACTGTAGATTTGTCTATTTCTCCTAATTCTGTCAGTTTTTGCTCCACATTTCTCGAAGCTTTCAGGTATACACATTTAGGATTCCTGCATTTTCTACTTTTATCATTGTATTATGTATCATCCTACCTCTTGTAATTTTCTTTCTTTGATAGCAACTCTATATGACATTAATATAGCCATTACTGCTTATTAATATTATTATAATATTTTTTCCATTTTCACTTTTAGTCTGCCTGTATCATCATATTTGAAGGTTTTTATAGAGCATATATAGTCATGATTTCTTAAACCCATCCTTTCAATATCTTTGCCTTAATGTGTTTAACTATTTACATTTAATAGAATTATTGATGTTAGAGCTTGAGCCTGCCATTTTATTTTATTTTTTTCTGTTTGATCTCTGCTTTTTGTTTTGTTTTCTTTTGTTTGTGGTGCTAGGGATCAAACCCAAGACCTCATTCAAGCTAAGCAAAGACTTACTTCTGAAGTTCTGTTTCTCTTTTTCCTAACTACCTGTGAATTATTAGAATACTTCCTTATTATTTCATTTTGGTATGAAATAATGCCTTTCATTGTATCACTTTGTATATCTCTTTGACTGGTTGCTCTACGTATTTTATGCACACACACACACGTTAGTTTGCTAGTGTCACCATTTTACCATTTAAAGTGGAGAAAATGTACTTCATTTTACCCTTTTCAATTTATAATATAATCATCTTAGATATTTCCTCTATGTACATTTAGAACTACATCAAGCAATTTTGAATAATCATCCACTATACTTTGGAAAACATAAAAAGTGAAGGAAAGTCTTATTTTATTTACTTATATATTTATTTCCTGTGCTCTTTCTTTTTTTCTCAGTGGTGTTAAGATTCCTTTTAAAAGTTGTTTCCTGGACTGGGGTTGTAGCTCAGTGGTAAAGCGCTTGCCTAGCATGTCTGAATCACTGGGTTCAATTCTCAGCACTGCATATAAATAAATAAAATAAAGGTCAATTGACAAAAAATAATAATACCACATTTTTAAAAAGTTGTTTCTTTCCAAATATCAGAGAAAAATTCAACCTTTGGTTTTTTGGGTTTGGCTTATTTCACTTAGCATGAGAGTCTGGGGTGGAAAATGGAAGTTCAGTAGATTAGAAAAGGGGAATGAAGGGAAGGGAGTGGGGATAGGAAAAGAAAAGAAAGTGGAATGAATCTGACATGCCTTTCCTATGTACATATATGAAGACATGACAGTCAACCTCTCCATTGTGTATACCTGCAAGAAATTAATTTTCAAAAGTTGTTTCTTTGGTTGTGGAGAACCTCCTTTAGCCCCTCTTTTATGAGTAGGTCTACTAGCAATAAAATCTTTGGAGGATATTCAAACTTGGTATCAGATCTTGGATTAACAGTTCTTTTATTTTAGCATTTGAATATTTTTTAGTAGGGGGGATTGGACTCAGGAACACTCTACCATTGAAAACATCCCCAGACCCTTTTATTTTTTATTTTTAGAAAGGATCTCACTAAGTTGTGGAGGCTGGCATTAAACTTGTGATCCTCCTTCCTCAGCCTTCTAAGTTKCGAGAATAACAGTTATGTGCCACCATGCCAGCTATCCTATATGGTTTTTGAAAAAAATCTACTGTCATTCAAACTGTTACTGTCTTATAGATAAGGTATCATTTTTTTCTCACAGTTTTCAAGGTATTTCCGTTACTTTTGGTTTTCAGATATTTGAATATGATTATCTCTTGGTGTGGATTTCTTTGGGTTTACTCTGTTTAAAATTCATTTGGAGTTTTGATTTTTCATTTATTTTATTATTTCATTTATTTTTCATTTATTTTAACTATGTTCATAATTTTTGAAGCACTTCATGAAGTCTGTTTTGGAATTTTCTTTCAGATAATACTAACATTCCTGCAGTCTTGGCATTAGGGTATCTATTAGTTGTCTATTACTTTC